TGTATTTTTTTATGGAATAGCACTAGGCATTATTGAATAGCATCGTCTTGCTTAATTTGAGAAATGCATAATATACACGTTTCGAATTACAATAAATATACTTCCTTACCGCATGTAATATTAAATGTACAATAATAAAATGTTTCTTTTTGTAATTACAATCTGTTTGAGTGCCTAGAACAGAATTTTTAAATCATGGTACTGTTTTTGTATCATTAAGACTCAAACTTCATGAGTCACTCCTTTTCCTCTTGATTTGGTGTGTTCAGACTTGATTCGGGCAACCAACTGACCTGTAGCCTGGTGTGGCTTCCATGAATCTCCATAAGTAGTGGAGGTACTGGTAGCCTCGGCTTTACTGGCGTACTGGAACAATGATCTGTCACTGGAACACAAGGAGCAAATACTGTCGTCATGAAATCCTTCCCGATCTAAAGGTGGAACCCAAGATATTGTTACAGAATCTTCTGTAGCCTGGACTACTACCGGAGGTATTGGAGGTGGTGGAGGAGAACGAAGACTTTCATCTTGCCATTTGTGATATTTCAGATCAAGGTAACAGTGCATTCGCGCAGCCTGGTGGTTTGTAAACGTGGTTGTACACGGATCATCTGCGAACACAGTAATTGATAATGCATATTAAGAAAGCAAGCAAAAATTATTTATTTATATAATTCATAAAATGTCTATACAATAATTGAAACATAAGTTTGATCAGACTAGAAAAAAGTCAAACCTGCATAGCTCATGTAGTTACTATAAGGGGTATTCTTGAAGTTCGTAAGTCCACATTTCCCTTTTTCGGAAGGAGGATCCCTACATTCGTCATTCTGGGGGGTAGGGTTAGTATCTGCGCATAAATCCCCAAGTGTCAAGGAAGCTTCTGTTTCAAGACAGGTGTCGTGGCATCCCATTTCTGACACACCTCGGTGAACATGCCACAGACCTAAGGCATGACCGAACTCGTGTACCAAAGTGTTCATGTGGCCATCAACTCCAAACTCGTTCAATTTCACTACAACTCCCCCTGCGATAAACAAACAGATAGAAAACGTAGAAGTTGAAAAAAAAAGTAAGAACTGAAGGGCATTGAAACCTAGGAAACCGGTCATTTAAAGAGCGTGTAGTTTTAACTAATTATATAACTTAAAAGGAAGAATAAAACAAATTATTGCATGGACAAATAACGAAGTTACTTTATGAACTACGTATACAAACATATATGTATTCAATATGAACTACATATACAAACATATATATATATATATATTTACAGTATGAACTACATACACAAACATATATACATATTTACCATATGAACTACATATACAAACATATATATATATATATTTACAATATGAACTACATACACAAACATATATACATATTTACCATATGAACTACATATACAAACATATATATATATACAATATGAACTACATATACAAACATATATATATTTACAATATGAACTACATATACAAACATATATATATTTACAATATGAACTACATATACAAACATATATATATATTTACAATATGAACTACATATACAAACATATATATATATATAAATCAATAGCAGGATTACGGGGCGTTGATTTGCGCCGAATGACACCATATTTCTTCATGTTTATATGCCCGTTGAAATAACTTACATAAATTTTTTAATGGGTAACTTCATTGCAATTATTCATGGATTAGTTTAAAAACTACTATGTTAAAGTATCGCTAAGCCTAATGACAAGATCTCGCTACGTCAAACTTTTTTAAATGTGGAGAATATCTTTATCAGTTATTTTTTTTAATATTTATTTACCCACGCTATAAACTTTAAAAATCTTAAAATTACGAAAAAACTTGACAGTCCGAAACAAACATTATGAAAAGTATTATATTATATTAACATACAGACTAATGACTTGCCTTTTCTAATGTCTTGTCTGTTGACAGTGACAAAGTTAACGGCATATCACAATAGGCTTTCATATTTCTAATGACTTCGACAGTGCCATCTGTGAACGGAAATACAACCTCTGATAATCCTTCTTTGGCATTATAAGAAACCCATATTGATAGTATGGCTGGGATCACTGGAAAGTCAAATATCAAAGTGATCGTGCATCCATTTCCATTGCAATGATGGAAATCTGGCATCCAAGCTTTTTCACTGGGTGTACAGGAGATGGCATCGGGAGGCCCTAAACAATGGATACTTTACTATTAACGAGGTTAGTAAGTAACATGATGGCCTAATCCAACTACTTTATCATTAGAAAAGAAAGACAAGTTTATGATCTGTGGAAATTAATAATAGGATGACGGGGCGTTGATTTATATAAATCAATAGCAGGATTACGGGGCGTTGATTTGCGGTTTGAGGTTTTCAACGTTTTTGATTTGATCTATTCTACAGGCACTGATGACATGCCCAGGTGGTTACGGTGCTCGACTTGCAATCTGAGGGTCGGAGGTTCGAATTCCCGTCCCACCAAACATGCTCGCCCTTTCAGCCGTGGGGGCGTTGTAAAGTGATGGTAACTCCCACTATTCGTTAGTTAAAGAGTAGCCCAAGAGTTGGCGGTGGGTGGTGATGACTAGCTGCCTTCCCTCTAGTCATTCACTGCTAAATTAGGGACGGCTAGCGAAGACAGCCCTCGTATAGCTTTACGCGAAATTCAAATCAAACAAACCAAACCTACTTCAAGAACAATTGTAGGAGTACTCTACAAGAAACTCCAAATTAACGACTCTCTTTCAAATGGTTCTGACCTTTATCTTGAGTCGATTTAATTTTAAAAAGGGCTGCAAAATCCTTCTGAATTTTATAAAACATTTATATATTTGAAGCAAATAATAACAACTGCACGGTAATCAAACTTATCATGTATTAAGTTTGTTTGTTTTTGTAACTAAGCACAAAGCTACACAATGGGCTATCTGTGCTCTGCCCACCACGGGTATCAAAACCCGGATTCTAGCATTGTAAGTCTGCAGACATGCCACTATGCAACTGGGGGGAGGGGGGCATGTATTAAGATAATAAATGTTAGATTATCTCAAAATAAAAAATATATATATCAAACTGGACCATAAGTGAAGTGCGCTGTACACTGCCTTCGAGATCCAGTTGATATTATTGCAAGTTTCTGTAAGTAAGAAATACCTTGGTAAACTTAAGCCGGTATTCAGTTAAACACAGTTACGGATAAGTAAAAACATGATAATAACCTATCTGTAAACTCAGTATCGTCAACAACTTTGCTATCCCCAGAAGAAAACGGCGGAGTTCGGAATATTCGATATCTGACTGGCTTGCAGGGATCACACTTTGGGTGGTTTGGCACAGAAGCGAGCTGGACAGCGTCCACCGTCACTGATGGGGCTCGGGTTTTCAGAAGAATCTGTAGAGATGGGCCATACATCAACTCTTAATTTCGAAATGTTACTTAAAATGTTTTTAAAAGCAATCTTTCAAAAAGTTCCATTTGGTGTTTTTTGTTTTTTTGTTTTCTTTATAATAGAAAAATACTCTAAGGTTAGCGGTTTTTTTTTCACTTTTACTAAAGGTTTAGAATACACAGAATAACACTCGTTAGTTCCTCAGTATTTCAGTGTGCTGGTACGTTTTTGTAGGTTTTATAGCAAGAAGTGAAGAAAAGACATTAAATTAATGCCGGGCCTCTTGAAGTGGGAGACAGTTGGGACCCCACATCTTCACGTTGTCTCACTATGGACAGAAAACTTGTTAGAATTGTCATTCATCTTAAGAACTAAACCATGTAAATATACTTAACAAGGCAATGTGTTTTTAAGTGTAACATATTCTCTCGTTACAACCTGAACTTTTTTTTTCATTATTCATGAACAATATTGATAATGATTGTAGGAGGTTTTTAGGAATTTGTCGATGTTTAGCTTTCTTTTTGACAAACAGATCTATTAAGAAATAGAATGGAATCAATGCTGTATTAATCGCCAGAATGGTTGTGCTCACGACACTCTCGACTAACGTTATCATCAATAGTTATCACAAGACATTTGCATTTTTTTTTCAAATTGTTCACATTTCCAATAAACGTTTTCCTTCAGTTGTTTGTCTTTAACAAATAAATATCCGTTCAACTCTAACTTAGGTCTGCCTTTCTCACTCTCAACAAAATTTAACATTTTGGGGGAAGCAGTTTGCAATAAAATTATAATACCTTTCTCGATATAGTTTACACAGTAGCACAGCAGTATGTCTGCGGACTTACAACGCTAGAAACCGGATTTCAATACCCGTTATGGGTAGAATACAGATAGCCCATTGTACAGCTTTGTCCTTAACTTCAAACAAACAAACACAATGCACTGTGTACAATCACTTCACGGGGCTGTTTGTATATAGTGACTAACGGTCAGTCGATGGTACTTTCAAACACACTTCTATGGACGTTTCAGGTTATCCAACACTCTTGATGACAGAGACTAGCACATCAAAACAATTTTCATTTCTATTTCTAGTGAAACTGCGTCTTGGCCAGAGATTATTTTTAGCATTTGAGTGGTGCATTAAATAACAATAGATCACTTTATTACTTGCTCAGCTGTCATTGACATTACGGGGTGTTATCGCTTGACCTGCATTGTTACCTCAGTTCCATGTTTTTGCTCTTACGAGAATTAAAATGAAACGAACAGTGTGGTATGTGAAAATTTGGAGTAAACACGTAATGTTTGTAAATATATGTTTCGAAGAACTGTTTTCGTATAATTTACCGCATACAGTTTCGAAGAACTGTTTTCGTATAATTTACCGCATACAGTTTCGAAGAACTGTTTTCGTATAATTTACCGCATAGAGTTTCGAAGAATTTACCGTTTACGATGGTTTAGATTTCTATAAGGTAACAATTTATTAAATAAACAGTATTTTGGGGGGTAAACTTTCCTAAAGCACTAACATTCATTCAAAGTACTTTAACATTTAGCAGCAGCTCCGAAATAAGCACTAACCTTCGTTCTGAATAGCCAGAAACATGATAGCCCAGCTTGCATCGATACCAGCATCGCTGCCCGTACTGGAAACTGTCAGTTATTTTACACTGCTGACTAATTAGGACGGCATGTGTTGGAGGTGAGGGCGCCACACAAGTCACTTGGCACTCACTAGTCGGTGAAGACCACTGACCTGTTTTCAAACAGCTAACAGCTGACAGGGCGTCGTCACCTGCTTATAATCAAATATAGATTATCAGTGTGGAAGTTTAAGCATCCAATAATGTGAAACTGTAATATGTTTTTCTTGATATTAGCTAACAATGTAACTGTACAGATTAAAACTAAAACGTGAAGTATGAAAAAACGAAACCAATTCTGTATATCGCAGACTGGCTAGAAGTGGCATAAATCAATATACATAAAGGTTTAACCTATTTTGATTAGAATGCATTGAATTACCTGTTGGAGTTAACGATATTTTCGGTCGTAATCCCAATAATATCTCGCAATATTTGGTCAACTTAGGATATAGTCCTAAATCCATTTACTAAGCAAATAATACAAAACAGTATTTACAAGTTTTCAACTTTAATTAACCTAACTAATTAAAAAGTAAAATGAAGTGGGTGATTACTTAACAAAATGCAAAAACAAAAACACCAGTATTAACTTCTAAAATCCACAGATTTACTAATACACGGAACTTGAATACATTTATAAGTTTAAAACCTCGAGGGGAATATTTGCAACTAAACATTAAATTTAAACCTCTGAAAAGGAATTTTGACCAGAACGGCACATTTTGCGCACGTGGGTTAAACTACCAGATCAGAGACCCCAGGGTACAATTAAAGCTGTCCCTAATTTGGAAATACTGAACAGCTTGTCAGCTTTACCTGCTGCCACAAAAACTTTGTCTAGCGCTTTGAACCGAATAACGGGAGTATCTGTCATGGCAATTTTATTACGTTCCCTTAACGGTTAACCCCTAGTCATTCCAATCTACAGCCTGATACACTAACCATAAGGCCACGCTAGCTCCATGTCTGAAACGACTGATATAATTCAAGGGGCCTGAGTCGCCCCTTTTCCGATTCAAAAAAACAACCATCAGTGGATTTTTTTAAAATTAAGTAAAATATAGACAAAAAAAGAGATACAAGAAAAAATATATAAAGAAGAACCTAAAATGCAAAGAACATCAGCCTCTCTATCAAGAAGACTCATGTTCGAATTCCAGCCACTAATACTACAGGAAATAGTCTTTCTGACGATTTCCATGAAGACAGCAACAGATTAGTAGCCGAAACGTTAAATAAAGGCTAGTTAGTAATAAGTATCTTGTAATCTAAGGTTAATAAATAAACCATTGAACAATGCCACTCTTTACTAAATGTTACTTTCACAAACTAACTACCTTTTAATCTAGCTGGTGGTCGACATTTGAAATTACACTGTTTCCCAAACGTCGTTCCTTCAGGACACCCTGCATCAGCGTGAGGTATTCTGGGAAATCCACAGTCTAGTGGTTTACAAAGAATGGGCTCGCCTGTCCATTCTCCATCATTGCAAGTGATTGATTTGTCTGTAGAAAAAGCAACGTAGCCATCCTCACAATACCATCTACATACATCTCCGTCCTCGTAGCCCGTACAGTTTAAAAAAGCGTTCTTTACCAAAGGTTGTTGACATCGTGGTTTCTGACACAGGTAATCTACACATCTACGTAGCGTAGGACTATAAAGTTGCCTTGGCAAACACTGGGAGAGAGCGATGGGATCCAGGAATCTAGATGAACGCAAGAGGATTCCACTAACTGCTATTCTGGAATTCACGAAGCTAATTTTCACGGCTTTTGTATGGAAGAAAGGCTGGCTCAGGTCCTGAAACCAGGGCACTTCTAAAGGATTCCTGTCACAAGACAAAAAGAATTTACCCATCAAGTGACTGGATCCTTCGGTGTCCAAAAGTTCTATTGTTAATTCAGAAGAATCGTGACTAATGGCAGAAATTCCGTCAGAAGAAAAATAAATGGACACTGATGTTGCAACCACTGTGTCTGAAAATAACGCTTGTAGCCAGAAATCATTGTTATTAACTCCATCACAAGGATACCACGAGTGGGAGGTGTTTGGAGAAGCTTCACATATCTGAAAAATAAAATAAAATTATAAAAGGTCCACTACTGCCAAAATTCCAAGATTTTCAAATAATTAGCGTTATTTAAATCTTAGAATGTGCGAATTCCAGTTTCCATGTGAATTTTATTATAAAAAAGAAAAATAAATATGAAGCTCAGGTTATTCTTGTATTTGCTATACGTCACCGAATTAAACCAGTTCCACCTCTGGACTTTAACCCTGGACAGAGAAATATTTAGTCTTCCTGTACCGTCTGTTTGATTATTACTTTGGAAACACGAGTAATCAGAGAGATTGCATACCCTCGCCCCACCACTTCTTTTCGAGATTGCATGCGATTATATTGGATAAAATCAAATTTCACCTTCGAAAACTTGGAAAATCTTTCTCAGATCCAGAATGATCAACGATCCGGATCATTTTTATTTTTAGTGTGATGAGGAGTCTCGATCTTAATGTACACATGAAATTTGGTACAAATCCGATCACACTTTAAAGAGTTATTAGCCCAAAACTGCGAAAATGCCCTCATTATAAAAAAATACTTCAAAGTGATCCAAAAACCGAATTCGGACCAAAATTTGAAGGGCCTGTCCCAAACTTACTTCCCATCTTGTGTAAAATGTTCGTGTATATCGGTGTATTAGTTTTCGAGATAAGCTCGCGGAAAGACAGACACACACACGGACAGCAACGAGGGGGCGAGGGTAATAATAATAACATATTTAGTCATGAAATAACTCCAATCAACGTATCATATTTATCTATAAAGATTCGTTGATTTATCGAACTCATTCGCAAAGTTACCTTTTCACACTTCGTAGTCATTTCTAAACACAAAAACTGAATCGCTCAAATAGTCAGAATCCTCACTGGTTTCTAACACATTATTTAGTTCATCTGTAACAGCGATTCCCAAAATGTAAGTTGCAAAGTATATCGGGGTGGGTCACAAAATATGATACAAAAAACATAAATTTTACAATTATTTATAAAAGCACTACTAATTACTAGCCGTTACTGAAAAATATTATAACACTAATCCTTTCACTCAGTTGAGCATATTTCTGGTTACTCAGGTGGGCCGTGAGTTAAATAATTCTAGATAACTTGCTTAATTATGCCTTTAATGTTTAGTACCTTTGCTCTCAGTTGTACACGACATATAAAATACTTGTATGCTGTTTTAATATTATATATTATGATGTAACCTAAAGGGCCTTTATGTCTGGACATTTTACTTACCCCTGGTTTCGCCGGAGGACCTATAATTACTTGAGGAGAGCATTGAAGGGTATGCGGCTCATTTGTTTTCACTTCTGAAGCCCATTGGTCTCTGAAACCCAAAGGAGTGTGAAATCCGCAGTCACGAGGATTAGAAAATTGTTCAAAATGTTCACACACTCCATCTCCTTTATACCAGTAACAGGAACTTGGAATACCTGAACACAAAGCTTTCTTTTGTTATTAAAGCCAAGTGGATTTCAAAGCAACATAAGTATATAAGCGTTTTACTGTAACTTACAGAAATATAAATGTTTCTATGTTTCTTTGTTACGGATTTCGCGCAAAGCTACACGAGGGCTATCTGCGCTAGCCGTCCCTAATTTAACAGTATAACACAAGAGCGAAGGCAGCTAGTCATCCCCACCCACCGCCAACTCTTAGGCTACTATTTTACCAACGAACAGTTGGATTGACTGTCACATTATAACGCCTCCACTGCTGAAAGGGCGAGCAAGTTTGGTGGGTCGGGGATTCGAACCCGCGACCCCCAGATTGTGAGTCGAGCGCCCTAACAGAAAGGAACAATGTGCAACCTCCTCTCTCTTCCATAAAAAGTGTAGTCGCCCTATCAACCAAGTTTTTATTACTCTAGCTTTAGAGCGTAAGTTACTATTATCTATATATAGAATATAAGATATTTCTAAAGGACTTCGTCTCAAAGCAGAGAATAATTTACTCAGATTTTAATCAGCAGTCCATGGGTGTATAATCCTGTAAGTTTATGAATCCTAAATAACAGGGATTTTAACCAACATATATATTTTTACCTGCGCATTTGTACATTTTGCATATTGTTCTTTCTGGTAAACCACTGGAAAAAAATAAAATGAAGTTTTTTCCAAACCTACCTTTTAAAAATATTCAGTTTGGTTTCATTTAGTATAAAAACAGACACATTTTATTTATTCTGTTATCCATATTGTTCTAGGCATTGATGTTTCATGTAATATCGAACTTCTTCACATATGCTGCCCATGAGAGGGTTGAGGAACTAATCTTTTATCTATATGATCCGCTTTCGTAATTATATATCAAATACAAAGTTAGTAAACGAAGTACTATCGCAAAATATTTACCTCAGTATTATAAAATGCCTTAAAAGTAATATTATGAAATTTTTTCTCACTACTATAAAATGCATTAGAAGTAATATCACGAAATTTTTACCTCAGTACTATAAAATGCATTAAAACTAATATCACGAAATTTTCACCTCAGTACTATAAAATGCCTTAGAAGTAATATCACGAAATTTTTACCCCACTACTATAAAATGCCTTAAAAGTAATATCACGAAATTTTTATCTCAGTACTATAAAATGCCTTAACACTTTCTGAGTAGAATATTCATAAGAATATCGTGTTTAAAGTTTAAATGTGTATTAATTATAGACTTACGAATATATAAACCAATTATTAAAATCAGTGGAAATATTTATCAAAGTTTACTTTATATAATAAAAATACTTTTAAGAGCAAATTGGCGTACCTCGACAGAGAAAGTATTTCTCCACTTTACATTGCTTACTGCAACCATCCCCATCAACCAAGTTTCCATCGTCACATTCTTCTCCGCTCGATCTGTAAAATTATTTACATTAACAAAAAGAAGCTTTAGAATATTATCGATCTTGATATTCAGCCATAACTGGGATCCATTTCGAGCTACTTTCTTCGTTATTAAACAATGAATTATTACTCATATCTTGCCTATAAATCTCATGCTAGCCAAAACTAAAATATTATCCAAAATGATACCAAGGAAATACGGATAATCCAAAAAACACTTTAACAAAAACATTAATTATTCTTTCACAAACGGCACTGCTAACACAATTTTGTGATGTGTTATTTTGATTTTTCTATTAACACCTTGAAATGAAACGATGTGATCTGGTTATATAAAGAAACTTTATGTCAGCGAAGTAACTTTAATCTTATAGTAAGTTTAATCTTGTCAGTTTGATCTGTTACCTTTACTCGACTGTGAAAACTAAATTAGATAAATTTCTGAAATCAGACAGTCATTACTTTATGATTTAAAATTGACACGGTGATACTCCTTGAAAACAAAGATAAAATTTCTAATGTATGTTTTAAATAAAATTAAGATAAACCTAGAAATATTTGGACTGAAGAATCTTTCTCTTTTGTTCAAACAAATAATTAGACGCTGTTATATTTCTCAAGCTAGTAGGTTGGCATATTAATAACCCATCTGTTCTATTTCAATATTTTCTATTAAAGTAAATAATATTTTAAACGCATCTCACCTAGAAATCTTCCCATCTCCACAAGTCTCATTTCCATGCAGATATTTCAAAGATGGGGAAAAGAACGTCTCACGTGATCCTAGCCATGCTTTAACTGCGTAAGTATAGGTTTGTTTCTTGATCACTTCACTGTAAAGAAGTTATATAATTTCTGGTCTTATGTTGAAATCTAAGATAAGCATTTTACAACTTCATAGTTCAGGAAATCTCTGTGGTATTGAATTTATATGTTCTTCTAAGGACCAAACCTAATATCTCATCATGCCAAGCAAGTATTCTACAAGTTCAGGTGGAGCGCTGGGTTCGATTCCAAGTTATGCATATTGTTGTAGTATCATTAAAAAAACTTAAGCCAGATAGTTGCTGTATTCCACGATCCTGAAATTAAGCCGAATTAGGACGAATTTTGTTCTGGGGGGGGAGTGAAATGTGGTAACCAGTTTCCAATGAACGGATGCAATGCTTTTGTCCAATTGGATGAGAAAAGCTAAAAACTGTATTAAATGTTTCTTTTTTCAGGGCAAGGAAGTTGAAATTATTATTTGTAATATTTTTAAGCTTGAGTTAAGTGGCATTATTTCACAAAAGTTTTCCTTTTTTTTTACTTTATATTAACTGCATTATTTGTTTTTGTAATTTCTGCGATGACTGAACCGTAATTTTAAATATACAGATATATCAGTGCTAGTTCCTAGTGACCGTTTTCTCCAGATTGTTTATCAAAGAAAGTTGTAGTTAAAAAGCATAATTTCTTCATTGTAGCTGTTGTCTAAAATAATCGAGGTATAAATTAACATCACCAAGACGCGACATTGCTTCACCAATTACAGAAAGGCCTAATATAAATTAAACCTATTTTGTGAGTGCGCCGCTGGTATCGAGGCTAAGAATGTAATGCACAGCATACGAAATAATTCACAGAATACACGTGATGCACCACATTATATTATTTCGCACGCATCGTTTGGACTCAGCCAAACTACAGCAGCTAAGTTGCCATCTGAAGATAGCATAAAAAGAACTATTCTATATTTATGTGTGAAACAAAATCCACGGTTAGTTAATCCAAATTATCAAAGAGATATTGTTTTTCCAGAAGAATATACTAAAACTGAAAATGGAGAACAGTTTTTAATGTTTGACTCTGGTGCGATAGATGATCGAATATTGATTTTCTGTACAAGAAGGAACCTACAGTTACTGACAAGTTGTGATCACTTGTATGTTGATGGAACATTTAAGATCATTCTGAATATTTTTGAACAATTATATACGATTCACGCGCTACAAGGAAGCATTGCAGTCCCTTTAATTTATACATTGTTGCCGAATAAAAATGAACAAACATATATTTGACTTCTTGGGGAGATAAAGGAGTAAGTACCTGCCTTAAATCCTGTGTCTATTTTGAACTTGTAATGATAAATGCAGTTAATATTGAATTTCCACGTGCAGTTAATCGTGAGTGTTTTTCCATTTTTGTCAGTGTATTTACTGTAAAATCAGTGAAAATTGCCTCAAGCAAAGAAACGACACAGATGCGGACTTCGCTTTAAATATTTACATGCTCTCTGTACCAGTATTTGTTCCTAAAGACCACATTGCAGAGATGTTCAACTTTATTATTGATGAAAACATTTTTCCACCCGAAGCTCAACCTGTGGTTGATGATTTTGAGGGTACTTGGATTGGACGTTCTGATCGAAGACAACCCACCGTGTCTGTTCACTTGTATTTAAGCTTGAGATGTGGAACCACTATGAAGGCGTGCAGCAGGACTTGCCAAAAACTAACAATTTTATAGAAGGATGGCGTCGTGGCTTTTTGTAACAAGTTTCTGCAAATCATCTAAATATATGAAAGTTCATTTCTGTGATAAAGAAGGAACAAAGTCTGAACGAGATACGTATTGAGCAGCTTTTGAGTGGTCAGGAACCTTCTTTTGGTCGAAAGAAATATCGCGACTGTAAAGAGAGATTATTAAAAGACTTGACAATGCGTTTCAACTAACAAATAATATTAATGATTACTTGCGTGGTATTGCACATAACATAAATTATTAATTAATACATGGTTAAAATAAATTAATAATATTAGTGTTTTTTTAATATTTTAATGGTCTCATAAAATGGCCTATTGTAATATCATGATGTAATAATATTCTCCATTCTGATTAAATATATAATTTTTTACATATGTATGTCTTTCTTTGTGTATTAAATAATATTAGC